TGTGGGTGGGTGTGTGTGTGTGTGTGTGTGTGTGTGTGTGTGTGTGTGTGTGTGTGTGTGTGTGTGTGTGTGTGTGTGTGTGTGTACCTCAGTGCTGGTCTCAGGATCCCGTTGCCGATGATGAAGTGAAGTTTCTCAAGGTTGGACGTTGGCCTGTCCTCCAGCATGCTGTTGCCATGGAGACCATACTCACCATCGTTTAGGCGCTTTGTGACCTGAATAGAATCAAACTTTACTTTTGTAATTCTGCTACCTGCCACCTACAGATGACCCCGTCAGAGAGGACGTTTCCCTCACCTCCTCAGTGATCTTGGACTTCTTCTTCAGGGTGAGGGACATCAGTTTGTGCCGGGTGCTGTTCTTCTTGTGGCTGTCACAGTGAGGCGTCTGCAGAGAGACACAGATCAGAGACTAACAGATGCTCCTGCTGGCAGCACACAACATGCATACGCAATACACACTCTCAGACTAAAGTCGAGGGCCTAGGAGAGGTACAATACATTCTTCACATTTTTCACAACTCAAAGCAGATATCGCAAAGAAAATCATTATTATTTATATAAAATGAATTATATATCTCAAGGTTATAAACTTTAAAAAGCTTGAAAGTGTATACGAAAGTTGATGAATGACCTTCACCCTGATATTCAATATCTTTGGAAAAACTGAATGTATTTTACTTTTTAGAATGGGGACAAGAGGTAAATGTGTTGTGTGTGCGAGTAAATCCAAAGGGTTATATATAGCAGAAGAGGCAGCACTACACAGAGCGGCTCCAGTTAATCATTGATACCCTCCTCATAAACAGGGTTTGAGTTATGTGGGAGCCAATAGGAGCTGAGCTCCCATAAGGAGGGGTCTGATATGGGTCTGAGCTTCCATGAAGCAGTGAAATCATACATCTGTGGGGGTCTTATTACCAAAAACCATTATTTTTATTTTTTAATGTGTCAATGTAATGAGTATTATTTACGTTAACGAGGTAAATAGGCTAAAAGAAAAACGTGTTTTCCAAAAGAACTACGCATCTCTTGATGACAATATGCCTGCACTTCACCTCCAAGGTGCGCAATAAATTATTGCGCAATCTATTCCTGTGAGCGTGCTGCGCGAGCCGAATGATGTGTGTGTGCGTTACGTTTAGTTAGTTACGTAGTAGTGTGTGTGTGTGTGTGTGTGTGTGTGTGTGTGTGTGTGTGTGTGTGTGTGTGTGTGTGTGTGTGTGTGTGTGTGTGTGTGTTTGAGTGTGTGTGTGTGTGGTGTTTGCATGCGTGCGAATGCGTGCGCGCACGTTAGTTTTAAAGACCCCCATAGAGCTCAGTTTATAACTCGAACCCTGCTTATAAACCGCTCCCCTCCCACCTCCCTGCCTCACCTCCCCCTCCCCCTGCAGCGCCTGCAGCTCTCTCTTGTACGTCTTCTTTCCCAGCGTCTCGTAGATCTTGGTCATGACCGGGATCTTCTCACTTCCATCGCTGATGGCTGTGTGGTACTTTGGCTCCGGCAGATCTCCCATGAACCTCAGCACCGTGATCCACACCGCTAGAGCCGCCTGGCCGGGACATGGAACAAATATATTTATTTATCAGTTCATCACATGAAATATGAATGTTGTGCTAGTTGCATCTTTGCTATTGGTGGAGAGAATAAACATATTTAAAGAATCACTGACTTCAAATTGTATTGTTACCTTAGTGGTGCAATGAAATAATACTTTCTTTTACACAAGTACACATTTGAGGTACATTATTTTAGTATATCCATTTTATGTAACTGTATACTTCTACTCTAGTACATCCAAATATTGTCCTTTAAACTGCACTTCTTTTGTCTCATTTGACAGCTTTAGTAACTTTCCAGATGTATTATAATGTTTCACAATCTTACTGTACAGTTAGAAATGTAAAGTAATGGTTTCATTTATGTGTCAAAATAGTTCCCCTACTAAAAGCTAAATAACTATTTAAAATCTTCTTATATCAGCTATAAAAATGCATCTTTACAAAGCTGAACCAATTACTCCTTTAAATGTTGTTTTGGTTATGGTTCTTGTATTTATAGTAGTATCAAACTGCAGGCGGGTCAGAGGTCAAAGGTCACCTACCAGCTGGTCTCCCTCGTCGTCGTGGAACAGCAGAGGCTGTTTGAGCGGCCGTCGAACATATGTGTGTGTGGTTGTGCCTTGGAAGTAGGTGGCGGCAAACTTGGCGAACTTGTACTCTGATAAATCCTCCTCTTCATCGTCCTCGGGCAGAGGAAGAGCCTCGTCCAGGTCCTCCTCCTGCAGCTCCCGATGCGTCCGCTCCAGGTCCTGCAAAGACACATCCAGACTGAGTCTTTGGTGCTTAAAATTATTTCAAATAAGACTCTTCCTCGTGATGAAGCATTCATCTGACAAGCTCAAGATAATTATGAATACAGGGCACCTAATAATTCAACGGTTAGACTCTCCAAAACGATTACTGGACATACATTTTACCACTTCCAGATACAGGACATTTCTTGTCCTTCCTCCTCACCAGACAACATGCATACATAACCCCTCTGTATCTCTACTCAAAGTATCATCAAGTATACAAATGCAGTGTTTCCCCTACCATTGTCTTGGCGGGGCGCCACATTGCAACTGAAGTAATCTATCTACGGTCACTTTTCACATTGAACATATGCTCTTTTATTAAATAAACTAAACGCCTATGTTATTTATCCAATGTCTGTGCATGCTTCAGTGTCCACTGCTTTGCGTATTCACATTCTCCCCCCGCTCTGTTTCTGAAGGGCGGGGCTCAGCTCCGAGCGGAAGAAATGAGGAGAACAACAAAGTGTAAAAAAGTCAAACAAATCTGCATTATTGCCCCGCGCTCTGCTGTCTGCCCGTTTGTGTCCCCCC